GACAATTATTTAGTGAGTCAGGGTCAGTCAACTGTCAAATTAACCATGTAGAATGTTAGTTCAGCCAAATAGGTATACTGATACTTCAAAAGTAAATGAAGTCTGACGTATTACAATAATTCGCATTCCACGACTGATGTTTATATATACAGTTATATACAAAGTATAGATGAAAATGATTCATTTTATGTAAATTTAGTTTGTTAACAGAACACAAAAAAAAGAAACAGATTTTTTTTCAACCCTTAACTTTTGTCTTTGAAAAGAGAAAAGAAAAAAAGAGGAAATTATTCTTCATTGTTTAATATAAATTTAACTAAATAAACAGGAAAAATACCATACTCTTTATGATTGACTAACATAGTCAATGGTGACTAACCTTAAAATATTTCCTACTTGTATTTATTTTCTCTAAAATTTTGTTGAACTTTTAAAAGACAGAAATACTTCTTCTGTATCATTCCATTAATGCTTTTTGTTGTTGTTGTTATTCTTTTATTTGAGTTGATAAAAGTCATAAATTCCAACTAGTAATTGTCTGATTAGTATAACTATTGTTATTATTGTAGAAAATAGTGTACCTCTCTAGACAGTAAAAACAGAGATAAGTAAATCGGATTTAATAAAAGGGATTTATTAGAAACATACTTTCAATGAAAGAGATAATTTATTTGAGATGTAAGTTATGGAAAAAAACTACTCAGAAAACATTAGTTATTAAAAATGTTTCTCATTGAGAACTAAAAGACCATTGAAAACACAATTTCATTGGAATTTTAAAGGTTATCAGTAATACGGTTCATTATGTTTGCAAAGAATGAGATTGAGAACGTCTAGATCTTGGGTTTACATGATTGATTAATCTTAATTAAATATGAGATAAAACTCTAATTATTAATGGTTTAACCATTGATGTTACTGGATGAAGCGTAATTGAAAATTAACTATTTAGTATAAACGAACATAATGTGAAGCAAAAATCATTATATCAACAAGCTGTCTTTTATTTCAACAATAAACAAGATTGTAAATTAAGTAAGCACTGGAGCAAATTTGTTTCCTTCATTTGGTATCTCATATTTTTAAGTGATCTTATTCTTACGTTGTTAAAAATTTTCCTGGCCATTATAGGAACAAACAGTAACCTCACTAAAACAAAACAGTCAAAACTGATTTAAGAAATAATCTGACAACTTTATTTGTTTTTGATTGAGATCATCAATCGATTGACGTTACACCATCATTGAAAGCCTAGAATTACCGGACGGCTTTTTCGTTCTATTGTGAGACTAAGCTGTGCACATCCTGCAAGCGAGGTCATGGATTAGCACTGCTGAGTAGTCTCATAATAGGTCGAAACGACTGTCCAGTGTTTCTAGGTTTCCAATGATGGTCTAACATCAATCACTTCATGATCTCAAACAAAAACTTAATCTCCAGAACCCCATACTGATAACTTTATTCGTCCGTAATTTTCAGATTTTATTGACCTAAAGTATTAACTATTACCTTATATGCATCAGTTTATTTTCTGTAAATCAGCCACGTAACATTTAAACATAACTGTCAAAAATTTATATGTAGATTGTGGAGAAAATAAAATAACTCAACTCAAGAATAATGTTATTTACTTATCAGTATTTTTGCAAAATAATCAATATCAAAGTCATGAAGAATCGTCAATCTAATTGTTCACGTACATTTCAGAATATAGTTTATTTGACTGGATGATAAATAAATGAACTTTTAATTCTAACAGATTTTTTTTCAGTAGTTGAGATCATGAATCATTTGAAGCTAGACCACCATGGAAAATCTGGAAGCACTGGACGACCGTTTCGTCCTATTGTGGGAACCCTCAGAAGTGCGCATCCACGACCCCGCCTCCTGGGGGTCGAACCCAGGACCTATCAGTCTCGGGCAAGAGCACTTAGCGAAACGTCCATCATTGTCTTCAGTGAGTTACTATCTCATAACAGACCCGGTTGAACTCAACTGGTCAATGATTCTCATTTGAACTCCAGGATATACCTCTTGAAGCCAGATTTTTTTATTTAGAGAAACATGTGAAATGGTTTACAAATATGGTGAATTTGACAAAGCTGAAAATTTTTATGAGTTAGATGACAGATGAGCTTTAAAAGTAGATCTGTTAGTAATAATTTAGTTTTCAAATACTTTTTATCATGAACTGAAATCAACCAGAGAACTGATGAATATAATAATGAACTGGGTAGTTGCATATTCCTAATTTTGATTTACTCGTGAAGAGACCTTAAACATAATGCAGAATCATTGTCGGAAGAAATAAATGATGTTATAGACTATACAAATGGAGGTGTTTTATATTGTCTGAAAAGATTAATTCCAAAGTACTTCAAGTAATTAATATTTCAGAAAACTGTGGTTTATTTAAAGCAATATGGTTAGGTATGTATATATATAACACTGTTTTTTTAAGAGTATTTATTTATTTATTTGAACACATAAATATTGGTATACAGCGGCACTGAATACATATGCGCCAAACAAGTCACCTAATTTGTGTGTCGGCTGTGATACTGCCCAGACCGAAGCAGGTGGTTTCCTTAGGGGGCCACACCCGGAGACTTTGACCTAAAGGTCTAATCCACAAGGCCATGGAGAAACGTTAGGAGATACAGTCCCATGGTAGCCAGTGACCAATAATTGGTTCATACGCCATTTGTTCCCTCAGGATACTGGAACCCGTGTGCACCATCAGTTTGGAATCAGGTTTTTCAAACTCCACTAGGTGGATCCTCCGTTTGTATGGATAGATGAACAGATTTTTATTCAACAACTGGTCAGTAGCTGATATGACGTCGATCTTAATTCAGCTTCCTTTCGGTGTTCTTAGTTATTCTCCATTCCCATAAATACTTTCAGTATACGGGTTGTGTAAATTGTCGAATTTCATTGAAATTATGAATTCATCTGCGTCAGACCACTAGTAAAAACCTGAAAGCACTGGATGGTACACCTCTGAGGAGTCCCATACTGGGACGAAACAGTTGTCCAGTGGTGATCTAACATAGATCGGTTCACAATTTCAATACATAAATATTTGTTGTTCAAAGGAACTTAAATGTTGTGCTTTTGCTGGTCTTATACATTTGAAAACAATTTGTTGTTTTCAAATGTAGAATCTATGAAGATAGGACTCACTCAACTGATTTATTGATTTACAACTAATAGATAATGAGTTTATACATGTTCTAAATGAATTCATACCTGTACTATTTAGAACTACAGATGTAGTGTTTATAATCGTAGAGTATGAACATGTGCATTTTTCTTTCTTGAACTATTCTACCATTAACCTCTATTTATTAAGACGATCAATGGAATATCACTTATGGAAACTTGGACACGAACAAACTATTCTATTTACTCAATGAACAAACAAGTAATCCTCATCACTTTTTTAATTATTATTAATACATATTTGCAGAAGTCTCTGCGATTGGGTTTTAAATAAATCCAACGTTTCGTTAGTCAGTACGATTCAAAGATTTTTAAGGAAATATAATCAGACATCGGAATTATCGAATATAAATACATGGTTCACCTGTTAACTGTATACTAAACAAGTCATCCTCCTTAATATATTACATTAACTTAGCGACCAACTAGTGTGAAACCATTTGTTCGAATTTAGACAAATGTTCTGATATATAATCGTTATTGTTCCGGATCCAGTATTATTCAGACGAAAATAAATGGAAAGTTAACTGCATTTCGAATTTTCTAAGTGTCTAAACATCCTTTATCTTGTTAACCTCAAAGGAAAAGTTCTAGGTTCAATAGGTTGTAGTGACGGGATATTCAGTTTTATCAAACTTTTTTAAACAAAAAGAAAATACGAAGCCGATAAGTAAAGTCATGATTATACAGTTTAATATATAATGTGTCGTGATATTAAAACAGTGAATATCAATAAAATGGGGCCACAATAAACTCCATCACTATTTTCAACATTCACATGTTGACAGGTATACACGAACATGGATACATGCATATTACAAAATAATTTTTTTCTAAAAAAAATCCGTTGAAAACAATATACGATACTAAGTAATTGTAACAATAACAATAAAAAATAGAAGCGAACTGAATTGGAAAAAAAATCAAGAAAGGACAAAGAACGATAAAGAAAAGACAAACAGAAAACATTCAAAAACAACCTGGATGTGAAGTATTGTCGATCCATGTGAACTATGTGTCTATGCATCCTATGAGAGAATGCTATTGATAAACAAAATGAGGATAATTGCACAGCCTTAGTGAATCAGAAACAAATCATACTATAATAGAAACTAACGATGATAACAACGATATTACTAGTCATAATGTGAAATAGTAATATAGGTAATAGTAGTATTCAAACTGTATCCAATTTACAAAATATACATAGAATAAGATACAGACAGATTAAGGATTCTATTTGGAAGAAAAAGTTGTTTCATAAAAAAAAACAAGTACCTAGGAGTGGGTGAGTAGATGAAGAAATACATCGATAAAGAAAAATAAACATGAAACAAATCACTTTAGAAAAAAAAACAATGATCAAAAATAACCGAATAAAGTCACTGTAACAATTAATATTCTATTTTCACTATCCATATAACTGTTGTTTAAATGAAAAATGTTACTATAAACAGTTGAGTTAACCTTTGTTCTTCGTTATTTAGATCGATTGAAAATTGTTACCAGTAACAAAATTTAACCACGAAGAAATAAAAGACAAAGAAAAGTGTAAGAGAAGGAACAATTCAGTTTGAAATTAACCGGTCTGTTAAAGAGTATGTTTTTGTATTAAGATGGTTTAATATAAATCCTCGGTTGTTTTTTAATGGTGGTAAATTTGTCATTGAAAAAATATGATTTAAAAAACAAATTCATGGTGAACTAAGCAAACCTAAGACTTGGACTCAAAGCTAATAAATTCATTCGGTCTCAACCACAATGATTGGACTTGATTACTTCCTTATGTTTTTCATATCAAAGTCAACTAATTGTTTATAATTACTTCGATGATTTGAAGGATTCGATTGACATTGTTGATATTGGGCAGGAAGAGGATGGTGTTGATGATGATGATGAGTAGAAGACTGTTGTTGTTGATGTTGTTCATAGTGAACATACCGATGAGGATGAAGAGATGGGGTATTTGTTTTATTATTTGAAGCATGAATAGCAGAACTAGTCATGTTGTTTATTGCTGTATATTGAGAATAAGAATTATAATTAATGGGATTATTATTATCATTGCCATTATTATTATTATTATTGTTATTATTATTATTACTACTATTATTGTTACTGTTTTTAGCTTCGGTTTTCAAAGAATAAAGTTGTGAGTATCGACAAAGTATAGGACTTTCACTGATACTCTTGTCATTCGAATTTTCCGTCGGTATATTATTAGTATTACTGTACTGTTCATCTCTGTTGGCTTTAGTAGATTTATCTAGTAATCCTAAAGCAAAATGTCTCTGACAATGATGATGATGGCAATATGGAGATACTGATGATGAGACAATATTCTGGCGTGGTGCAGCATGTGAACTAGTTCTCATTGGAGGTCTTGGAGGTGGTGATTTAGCTTCTCTACGATTGATGTTTTTAGTATTATCTATAAAATTATGATTAGGAGTATAATTAACATATGAGCGTGATTTACACTCATCAGAATGATTTAAACATTGTGAGTTATGATTTTGATTCAATGTATTCAGTTGATATGATGTAGACTTTGGTATAGAATGGATTGCGTGATCTATAATTTTATTCGACTCATGATTTATCCAATCATTTGGAAGTGTTTCTGATTTTCTCAAGCGACCAGATAAATTTTGAGGTACAGTTGATGTGCGATACGGTAATAAATGTGTCCAATAGGGGATCGGTACACTAGATGCATTACTTTGCATAGTTTTGTCATTGTTATGAGTACTAACAGTAGTGATAATTTCTGTTGTGGATGCATTTACGGGATTCGAACTTGTGGATGTGGTAACAGTGTCAGTAGAATTTTGTCGATCTCTTGCATAACCACCAAAATTATTTCCACCACTGTCATTATTACGTATCATCTCAGGAATTGGATATATTGATGCATTTACATAAACTGAACGTTTTTGTCCTCCAGATCGACTTCTTCCAGTGGCTATTTGTTCTGAGTTATCGCCTAACCATGGTCGTCTAACTGGAGTAGGTGGTGTATGAGAACAGCAGTAATTTCCAGAAGGAGGTACACACAGTGGTGGAATAGGATATAAATCCTTAGGATTCAAATGTCTGTTGTTATTATTTATACATGTAGACATATCAGGTGATTTCATGTAGTTCAACTGATCAATATTTTTCATACAATTTGTAGTTGATGACGTTGTGCTGTTATAATGTGAAGCATATAAAATTGGCATTTTAAATAATATGAAAACGATAAGCACAAAATATAAAATTAAATCAACTTCTTAATTGTAAATGAATTGAAAAGTAAACATTCGCTCACTGAATGCAATTCTCGTTTGTACTAGTGTATTTTATTTTATCATGTCAGTCACGTTTCTCAACCAGTCATAATCGTCTCAACTACCGGCAACAATGATTGGTTAGTTAGACTTGCGATGTTTATTAACAATATATATGGCCAGTATACACAATAAGATGTACAACCATTGAAAATGTACGCATACACTTAGGCTAGTATACTTTTGAATGTGAAAATTTGTAACATTTACAATGAAATATGGCACACAAGTTTCATTGTACAATAATAGTAAACAAGGAATGAGTAAATTAATTATTTATTTTTTTAGAGAGTACTGATAGAGAATAAGCTAACATGTTTAAAGGTGAGAAAACAAAGAAAGCAGTGTTGTTCAATATTCAATTAGACATTTAGTGAATCCATCTAATAATTCAGAAAATAGTAATAATGATGATTAAGTTAAATCTGATTTAAATAAATATAAAAACTAAACGAAAATACGATCGGCTTATTTACTTATTCGAGAGATCAGTATACTTCCTCTTGAAAATAATATTTTCCGTGAATTGAAAGCAAAACACAGTTGTCAGTTATTTAAGAATAACAATTCATTATTAACTCAGTCTACGCTAATCCTTAAAATGTTACTTTTTAGTGAGATCAGTGAAAGTGGAAAGATTGGGATATTGTCAATAAGAACTGGTTAATGTTATTACATTGCTTACAAAAAAATATTGTTGGAAATTGAAAGAATAAGGTGAAATTAAATAACATTTAGACAAGGTTCAGAAAGGGAATAAACAAGCTAGTTCACAATAGCAGGGAGGTCTTGAGATTAACAAAGGACAGATTCTAAATTTGTGACACTGGCGCAAACTTCACGAAGCACTTGTTAAGGCCATGTTATAACATGGCCACAATACTAAGGATTAGCAGTATAACTTTAAAGTTTGATGTTCCATACTCTTTTGATAAGTCACAAAAACTAATTCGATCCCATTTATTGTTTGATGACTTCTCCTGGAGTCCCTCCGGGGGCTACTGCCGGTCCCAAGCCCGGATAAGGGAGGAGGGTTGGGCATGGGGTTAGCGTCCCCATCCCGTAGAAAACTAACTCGCTAAAAAACGCTAATCAGAAGAAAATATTCAAACCTTTTAAACTCTGCCCTGGGAGTCAGAAGGTCTTCATTCAGAAGAAGAAATATGACGCCTCATGATGAAAGCCGGATTCCTTCGGAAGTTACGAGGCCGATGCCCCCTCTGACAACCAGAGCGACCATTTATTTAGGTATATGGAATGTTCGTACAATGTGGGACACCGGGAGAGCCTTCCAAATTGCTACAGAAATGAGAAGATACAACCTAGAGGTACTTGGGATCAGTGAAACACATTGGACACAAGTTGGACAAGAACGACTAACTTCAGGAGAGCTCCTGTTATACTCCGGCCATGAAGAAGAAAATGCATCACATACACAAGGAGTTGCATTGATGCTGTCCCAACAAGCGCAAAATGCGCTTATAGGAAGGGAATCTCATGGACCAAGGATCATCAAAGCCTCCTTCAAAACAAAGAAAGAGGGTATTTCAATGAACATCATCCAATGCTATGCGCCTACCAACGACTACAATGAAGACGCTAAAGATCAATTCTACACCAGGCTGCAGTCAATCGTCGAGAAGTGCCCAACAAACGCCCTGACCATTCTGATGGGAGACTGAAATGCCAAGGTTGGAACGGACAGCACTGGATATGAAGACATCATGGGACGACACGGACTGGGAGAAAGGAACGAAAATGGTGAGAGATTTGCAAGTCTATATGCCTTCAATAAGCTGGTCATAGGCGGCACCATATTCCAACATAAACGCATATACAAAACCACATGGACTTCACCGGATCACTCTACACAAAACCAAATCGACCATATTTGCATCAACAAAACGTTCAGGAGGATGACAAAGAATGTGAGAAACAAGAGAGGAGCTGATATAGCATCAGATCATCACTTGCTGGTCGCCAAGATGAAATTGAAACTCAAGAAACACTGGACAACGGGGCGGACAATATAACAAAAGTTCAATACGGCCTTTCTTCAGGATACTAACAAACTCAACAAATTCAAGATAGTACTCAGCAAGAAGTTCCAGGCCTTTCATGATCTACTCCATGGAGAAGGAACTACTATGGACAGCAACTGGAAAGGGATAAAAAAGGCAGTAACTTCAACATGTCATGAGGTTTTGGGTCACAATAAGCAGCGTCACAAGGAATGGATCACTGTTGAAACACTGGATAATATTCAAGAAAGAAGGAAAAAGAAGGCAGTAATCAATACCAGTCGAACAAGAGCAGAAAAAGCCAAGGTACAAGCTGAATACACAGAAGTAAACAAACAAGAGAAGAGGAACATCAGAACCGACACGTAAATATGTGGAAGATCTAGTAATGACGGCGGAAAAGGCTGCAAGAGAAGGAAACATGAAACAATTGTATGATACAACAAAGAAGCTCGCTTGAAATTATCGTAAACCAGAACGACCAGTGAAAGGCAAAGTAATTGCCAACATTGAAGAACAGCGAAACAGGTGAGTAGAGCACTTCAAAGAACCCTTGAATCGACCAGCCCCACAGAACCCACCCAACATAGAAGCAGCACCTACGGACCTCCCAATTGATGTTGGCCCACCAACAATTGAAGAGATTAGTATGACCATCAAACAAATCAAGAGCGGCAAAGCCGCAGGACCGGACAACATCCCAGCAGAGGCACTAAAAGCAGACGTAGCGGCAACTGCAAGGTACTCCACATTCTCTTCAATAAGATTTGGGATGAGGAACAAGTACCAACAGACTGGAAAGGACTTCTGATCAAAATACCGAAGAAAGGCGATCTCAGCAAGTGTGTTAACTACAGGGGCATCACTCTTCTCTCAATACAGGGAAAAGTCTTCAACAGGATATTGTTAAACAGGATGAAGGACTGCATAGACGCCCAACTTCGTGACCAACAGGCAGGATTCCGTAAGGATGGATCGTGTACAGACCAAATCGCAACTCTACGGATCATTGTGGAACAATCAATTGAATGGAACTCATCACTCTACATCAATTTCATTGACTACGAAGAAGCATTTGATAGCAGGGACAGAACAACACTATGGAAACTTCTTCGACACTACGGCGTGCCTCAGAAGATAGTCAATATCATACAGAACTCATATGGTGGATTACACTGCAAAATTGTGCATGGAGGACAGTTGACAAAGTCGTTCGAAGTGAAGACCGGTGTTAGGCAAGGTTGCTTACTCTCACCCTTTCTCTTTCTCCTGGTGATTGACTGGATCATGAAGACTTCAACGTCTGAAGGGAAGCGCGGGATACAATGGACATCCAAGATGCAGTTGGATGATCTAGACTTCGCAGACAATCTGGCCCTTCTATCCCAAACGCAACAACAGATGCAGGAGAAGACGAACAGTGTGGCAGCAGCCTCAGCAGCAGTAGGTCTCAATATACACAAAGGGAAAAGCAGGATTCTCCGATACAACACAGAATGCACCAATCCAATCACAATTGACGGAGAAGATTTGGAAGATGTAAAAACCTTTACGTATTTGGGCAGCATCATTGATGAACAGGGTGGATCTGATGCAGATGCAAACGCCGAGAAATGGAGATAGATATGAGAAAAATGAACAAGAATTGGATGGAACTAGAAAAGAAGGCCCAGGACAGAGTGGGTTGGAGAATGCTGGTCTGCGGCCTATGCTCCATTGGGAGTAACAGGCGTAAGTAAGTAATGTAAGTAAGTATTGTTTGATGTTCGAACTTGTCTACTACTGCATGTTTGAAGACAGAAGAGGCCAATGGATGTAAATGTGTATTTGAGAAAAAAATCGATTGAATTACCGCTTTAACTACAAAACACCTAGACAGAATGCCTTTTTGTCGTAAAATGTAATTTTAAGGTGGAATGGTATGAGACCAATAATAATAGTTTGTGTAATAACCAACTATTTACGTATACTGTACAGATTTGTCTCATTTATTAAAGCCTGTGAATAGTTTGTAGTCTACAAAATCCGTTTGTATTGGTTGATCGCTTATTTTTGAAGATTTAGTTTTTCCTGCTAGGCTAATGTTCTTCATTTTAACTGAGGTCAAAGACACGTTCTCTCGTTAGTTTCTTGTGTTCTTAGTATGCTATATTTCTTAAGTTACTTTCAGCAGCGTTGCAAAAGTAATTTACACCTAATAGTAATTGGCCAAGTTTGCTTTTCTTCAATATCATCAATCAGTCGTTTCATTAACAGTTGACTTTTAGAAAAGTTGGGAGTTGTTCATTGAAGTCGGGACTAGGAGTATTTTACCGTTTTATCAATAAATATTGACTAAGTATTTCGAATAAACTGATTAAGAAATATTTGAAGGTTTTATCAACTTATATTTAACTTGTTTGGTTGTATGTGTTTTTGAAAACCGTTTTCAAAAAAACTTGTCTACATCTAATAGGATAAAAAATATTTTTGAAAATCTAAACGATCTATTAGATCCATAACAAGAAAAGAAACGCTAACAGAATGTGAATGTAACGTTCATAGTAAGTTTACGACTGACGTAGCTCACACTTTCCTTGAAACACTGAAAAAATATATTTAATTACTTTAGTATATCATTATCCACCTTTGAATGACAAGCATCATTACTTTGCAAAACCTCAATATTAGTTAATGAACATTACACAAAAGCCCAATTAGCCAAACAAAGGAACTTATCCTAGACTTAAATAAAACCATGAACAATTCACAACTATCCTTAAGAACTACTATATTCAACAAGCAAATACAAAGCTGAAAATTAAACGTTTATTTTCAAGAGAACACAACTGCAAACGAA